GTTTATTGGTCGAAACGACTGTTTCTGCTGGAGCATAGCACCTGGTAATCAATTAGAATATTTCATTCTATATGATCAACTTTATTTTGTCTCCAGGTTCTGTGGAAGCGGGCGCAATAAAATCACTGAAGGTCGAAGGATGTGATCGAGCGCCATGTGTCGTGAAAATGGACGGTATAATCAATGCCACAATGGACATTCTATCTCGTAAGTCCTTCTACTTCCAAACAATTCTTTTAGCTAGTAGTTTGAAGCGAACGAACTGATGGGTCTGTATCCTCTCCCCAGGAGATACTCCCGTTACATTTCCCAAAAAAACATCTTGGGCCTCAAAGTTCAAATTCATCTGATGTTTGTCCTAGTACGATGACGGGACGAAAAAATATTTTTCTGTTAATATTCTTTGAATAAACCAACTATTTCATTTTATGCATGCACTTGTTGGGATAATGAGCGCGTTCGTCAAATTTATTTGTTGAAAATATATCTGCAGTGAAATGAATCCACGACGAGAGATTTGCAGATTTTCAGTATCGTACAGGTGTGCATGAGTTCATTTAGGACTGTTTCAAATGTTAGAATTCTCGCACACAATTCACTGTTGCTCGTTGACTGTTAACCCAGGTGTTATGTGATTGCCTCGTCGATGTAGAGTTGCGTTTGAGACTTGCACGAAACATATTTGAAGGTAAGTTAAAAAAAAACTGGAAACCGATGGCGAATGCTGCTCACGGGTGCTATGGCTGTAATAGTGTGTGAAGGAATTCAGCAAATTATCCATGCATTTCAATGGTCCTGTAACGTTCACTACTCACAGGTTGTCAGTAGACTGGTGTGCGAATTTTTACCCATAATTCTACTTTCCATCCATTCAATTATAGCGCGTGATATCGAGGATCCGAAGTCACGTGTTTTCTTTTATATGGCGTCGGAACCGTCGGTCTCGATCAAGGAGGAGCAGTGGGATATTATGTGTGGTCAGAATAAAAAATGTTCATTCAAAAAGCAAAAGAAATATGCTGTTTTCGTGGAAACACCACCAGTGCAAAGAGATGTGAGCTATCCGATCCCTTATTTCACCTGCTTTCCGTTTTCGGGGGTCTCTATTATTTGTTTTATTGTATCTTTGTTTGTGTTGTTTACACATGACACAGAATGCATGTAGGGAAACCTTTGAATCGGCAGGAGTTCGCTCAACGACTTCGGCGTTCTTTGCTCTATACAGCAGCTTGAATGATTGCTTGTTACAAGAAATAACGACTCTGAGATCAGATACAGGTGATCCGGATTTATGCGCATTTTCGGTTTGTAAGGGCCGTTCGTACACAAGTGAGCACACACTGACCTGTTTTTGCTTATTTTTCAAAAGGCGTACACAATGTTTCACACTTAAGCGAGTGCATCGCTCTACAAACCTGTTCCTTTGACGGTAGCGTTAAATATTGTGATCAGAACTCATGTGTTCGAAAAGTTTCACGGACATTGGTCTCGGTGAACAAAGGTTTTAGGGGACATAAATACTACTCATGCCTTGTTGCCGCACTTTCAGTCAGGCTCGAAAAATGCAGATGTTATTGCTCAGTATTCGTTCCTCAGTTTCATCTGAATTTGGTTTGTTATCTCAAAATGATAAAGCCAGATTTTCGATCGGCTAACCGGAAACCGGTCGTAGGATTATAATTCATTCATGCCGATGAGCGTCTTGCTGATAGATGACCTCGAGATTGCATTTCACTTGTCTTGGTTCATTTGAGTGAATGAGCTTCACTCGAATTCGCGACTGTTCTGTGTAGTTGATCACGGTAAGCATAATGTTGAAGACACACCGAAGAAATATACCCAGCCTGTTTTCTGTCATCCAATGAAAATTTGTGAAAATGACTTCGATTTGTAAATTGCGAGGATGCTGAAGGTCCGATTCATAGAAATCTGTTGTTTTCTCAGTTTTCCAGTTTTGCTTGGAAGCTTTTGGACGGGAAGAGTGTCGTCTTTTGTGTCCGTTGGGATATCAAAGTAGTCTGAAGGTGCAAATCTGTAACTATGTGTTGCGAGGAAAAGAATCTTTGCGATAACACATGTTTTGTTGTTTGTGGAGTTGGTGGAGGCTGGTAGAATTTGGAAGGTCATTGACGAGGCTAATTAATTTTTACCGCATGTTCTTCCGGACAGGCAAATTTAGGGCCGACATATGAAATTTAAAAATCTGCATAATTAAGTCGGACAAACTTTCTACAAAAAATCGTATTTGAGATCAAAACCTGAAGCATTCGATTCTTTTCCGACGAATGACAATGCAATTAGAATGATGCGTCTGGGTGATAGAGCACCCAGCGTCGAAGGAACTGAGTGACGAATGGTCGCTTGAACCACGATTATACTGCAAACGCGGTAAACTGGGACATGGCGCCGGAAACTGATGACTCCAGCTCATATTCATTTTGAAGTAGGCGGAAGTAGAAGGTTAAATCAAACTTGCTTATTCAGTATCGCCACCTCAAGTTTCTGTTAAGAAGCCAGTCGATGGAGATGTCTTGATGTGGTCCCGTTATTCACTCTGTACACTCTGTCACTCTGTAGTACACTTCAGAACCACCCTGATAAAATATTGATATCAAAACGTTATCTTTTAAGTAAACTGTTGGGGGCACTTTTCAAAGAAGTATCTGGATGGTGTCCAGAAAGTGGTGAAATCCCCCTTCATAATACTGGCGAGAAACAACGAATCCGGCACACGACGGATCACGTCACAAACTACCTGAACTATTAGCCTTTGCATTCAGGTGAAGCACAAGGGATGGAAGAGAGATGGAAGACCATAAACTGGAAGCTGACTGGTCACGACTTCACGACTCCTAAGAGGGGAAGGGATTGTTGGAGGGGTTGTATAGGAGCGACGAACTTTAGAATCTACCGAAAATACGCGTGAGTACTCTACCGATGAGACCATACGTGTCCGAATCTGCATGCTGCTCAAGTGTTGAATGGTTGATGAGGAAACGAGCCAGTTAAACATCTGACTGAGCCACCACAATAATTTCCTCTCTGTTGATGTAAACAGGATGCCCAGCACAATCTGATTGGCATTGATTTCACTTGGAATCACCTGCTCTAGACAACATTGTGCCTCCTCGGGAAGCACTAGGCTACCTGCGTAACCGTATCCAGACTAGCGGAATAGATAATTGCATACCAACGGTGTCCGGAGGCCAGCCGTCCCTAATAACCGATCATCACATCATTTGGACGGATGTGTAACGTGCAGGACATGGACCAGACGAAGCATGCCCTGATTGGCCAGAAGGCCAGCCAATCCGGATCGAGCACCTCTTACTCGACGCTTTTCGCTTCTCACAGAAACTGTAGCACGACATTGTGGGACGCGCTGGGATAACCCTATAAATACATCTGTAATAATTTTCCTTTGTCGCTATAAAGAGCTGCGAACAGTGACCTTGCCCTTTGGTATACAATTGTGGGTAGAGCAGGAAGCCAAAGGACCGATACAGAATTGCACCACCGTTCAGCAAGATACAACAACTGGCGACGGGTTTGAGATATGCAGTTTCGATGGAACAGTCGAACTGATAACGTCTCATAGGTGTTCCTCTTTGATTGTCACTGGCTTGTATGTTCAAGGAGGGGCTTGAAATTCATAAAATGGGAAATTTGTCATTTCTAGGCTCTACGTCGATGGCATAAACGCCCTCCTCCCAAATGAATCCAGTCCGAAGCAGGTTCTAGCGGAATTCTGTCGGGTCCATCTAAACATCAGCTGCCTTCTAGATTCAAATTCGAGCCGGAATCTCATCAACTTTCTCAATACTGAATTCTCGATGGGAAGCGATGAGGTGGTTCACAGAACAGTGTATGAAAGAGGTGTGGAAAGAGAAGTGTGGAATGAAAAATACATCCATTTGGACAGTTTTGTCCGTTTCAAACCAAGCGACGTCAGACCGGTACAGCAATGGGGAATCCACAGAGACGAGACGCTGGAAGCTGGATTGAAACGACGAGTGGATTCCATCACCTTGAAAGGAATATTCAGTCCGTTTTGTGCAAGATGATTCACACGCGCCAAGACTGATGTGAGTATCGCTTACGAGGACACTGGTCTATGATTGTCTGTCCTTTAAAGGTTACCCGTTTGTCAAAATTATATTACGGGACGATGGAATAGTGAACCAAACGCTTGGGATTATTCCCCCTAAATTCAGTGCAAATGAAATTGAGTCTTTGTAAAACATTGTAAGCGTTGTATGAAACAGTTGGTTATGAGGAAATGGAACATCGCGAATATATGAGAGATTGTTGATCGACGTTTACGCTTTGAGGAATAATCTTTATTGCAAGCAGGGAAGAATACAAAATGAACCTGTTAATGACAGTCACAAGGCTTTCATCATCAATATAGTGCTCCTTAGGTGAATCTAAGCCATTCGAAGCGCGGCGCGTTATTTCCTACCGTTGATTGTTCAACCAGACCAAGTCTTGGTGCTCGACAAGTGCAAAAATGTCGAACGAAAAATATACAGGGTAACTGGTAATCTCATCTTGATTGCTGTTCCCCTATTCGAAGTACCGTTCCAAAGGTTTCTACCGTGTGAATGAGACTATATTTGGACAAGTTCTTCAGTTCAGCGTTCTTTTCAGACAAACATTGCCACACAGGTTTATTGAGTTCAATCTATCAAAGTGTAGCAGATTTAGTCCGGAGCCAAGCTGCGAACCTACGTGAGCACTGAGGTTGCACTCAGCTCCGCAGTTTGCTTATTCATGTAATTGACGGACAAGTATACCTGGAGTTACACTCCACCAGTCTGGAAAGCGTACACCGAGATTCCGAACAGTCAGACCTTCGTGGACAAACACCACTCTGGCCGCGAATCTATCATGGTGTCTACTAAGGAAAAATTACTGTACGCGACTAACTGGGGTCACCAACAAAGCGATACGATGCTGTCACTGAAGGCTGTGCTTTGTGTCGATGCCCGGATACACTGGTGGGACGGTGACCTTGACCCGAGTCAACCCATCACGTGAACACTCAATCTCAATTACTTCTAGTTCATATTCCATTCCACGTCATCAAAGAGGAGCAGACGTGAGGGAGATCTTTTTAGACGTGACATCGGCAAACGGTGCCTGATATCCAACAGATGAAACACAACCATCTGCATTCATGTAGCAGGTAAAGTTGCAGTTGCAGAACGCACACGGTCGACTGCATGCACATTGTTATCTTCATCCAAGTCGAGCACACAGCGGCTAGTACAAACGTGGTTTGACCAAGCATAGCTAGGCAGATCTGAGCTGCGCTGTGCTGAGATTTGATGAGCGGCTAGTACAAACGTGGTTTGACCAAGCTGAGCTAGGCAGAGCTGAGCTGTGCTGTGCTATGCTGAGCTGAGCAAAGAGCTGAGCTGATAACAAATTGTTGGGTCATTGTCTCAGTCATTGCGACTGTGCGCTGCTCTACCGATCAAAAGTGATTACCACGAGCTTAGTAAACAGAATGGCTTTCTCGCGAAATACACTCATTGCTGAGCTGAGCTGAGCTGAGCTGCGCTGAGCTGAGCTGAGCTGAGCTGAGCTGAAATGAGCTGAGCTGAGCTGAGCTGATCTGAGCGAAGAGCTGAGCTGATAACAATGTGTCGGGCCATTGTCTCACTCATTGCGACTGTGCGCTGCTGTACCGATCAAAAGTGATTACCACGAGCTTAGTAAACAGAATGGCTTTCTCGCGAAATACACTCATTTTCATAGCAATAGGGTTTTCACCGGAGACTCAATGGAATCTGTTGGACACAGGCCACCTCATGTTTCGATCTTTACAATATGTGCGATATCACGTTATATTTTTTTGAGGAAACACCGATTGCGAGTAATATTCTCTCACAACGGGTGTCTACATCTTCAAAGGATTAAATTCTTTTAAATAGTGCTTATTAACCCTTCAAGATTTATCATTTGAAACGACGTTGCCGAGAAGATCTTCATCAGTCCCTCTTCGAACCTCATGTTTCGATCTTTACAATATGTGCGATATCACGTTATATTTTTTTGAGGAAACACCTATTCTCTCACAATGAGTGTCTATATCTTCAAAGCATTAAATTCTTTTAAATAGAGCTTCTTAACCCTTCAAAATGTATCATTTGAAACAACGCTGCCGAAAACATGTTCATCAGTCCCTCTTCGTTTACAATCTCAGTGGGAATTTTCGAAAATACAGTGTATCGAAACCACTTTATGTCGTCCATACAGCCATCCAAGTGGCTTAATTCTGACAAGGCAAGAAAGCTTTGTGATTTTTGGCCGTTTCATTTCATTTATTAGATTTCCGTGACAAGTTGGACGGATCTATCTCAGTTTCAATACCCCTGCAATCAACGTGTTCCACTCGAATCGAAACTACAAAAACCACACCTGGCGGGCTTCTTCCTCGACATCAGCAAATGCTGGTTTCTTAATTCATCAGTTTCTATCAACTTGACGCATTGTCAGACGATGATAAACGACCCGGTGGTCCTAGCACAAATGGTGCTTTATTTCCGCGCTCCGTTTCTCAGAAAGCCCCACGGGATAGTGATGGAAACTTGGGGATAACAAGTAGCAGTGCGATTTGTTCCTAGCCCAGTGGAAAAGTATGTGTTCTACGAAATTAATTCATCAGTTTCTATCAACTTGACGCGTTGTCAGACGAAGATAAACGACCTGTCCTAGCACAAATGGTGCTTTATTTCCGCGTTCCCTATTCTCGCAAATCCCCACGGGATACTGATCGAAACTTGGGAATAACAAGTAGCAGAGCGATTGGTTCCGAGCCCAGTGAAAAAGCAGGTGTTATACGGAGGCTGTCCGGTGGCTTTATACTCTGTTATGAATCACGCGATCCATAAGCCCGTTCGGGACGTGAACCTACTCACAAGTTCAGTGATATTTACTGACACGTGTACCAAGATGAGAGCTAGCAACAGAATCAAATGAGTGAAAAATGACGCCGCCCGTTGTAATAGGGCAATGTGTTGCAAAATTTATCACTCTAGTAGTCCGAAAGAGATGGCTCTCCAACGTATTGATATTTGTATTGGATTTTCACACTTCTGAGAAATCTTTAGCTTAGGAGGGTAAGTCGATGATAGTGCTGCGTGACTGCGTAAATACGACTTGTAAGTCCCACTTCGTGCAGAAGCAACTGGCCGTGATCTTTCTCCACCATTTTCAAGACATTTGATGGAACCGTAAACGAGTTTTCCACGGTTTCGTGATTAAACACTGTTCTTGTGACACGATCCGAGCGAAGTTCACCATGGTTACATATAAATCAGTTCTACCTAATCGCGCAGTACAATATGCGTTTTTTCAGGTCGACCTTAAACGGCCGGTGTACAGAGAGAAGGACTGAAGCGATCGGTCGTCAGACAAGGAGTATTTTCTACCTTGTTGACAGACCGCTGTTTCGTCCTCTTGTTTTCGTCGGGGTGTACAAGCGGGGTACTCTTCCCTGTCCAGGGCCCGTGGTGATTCGTCCGTGGTACCTGCAGTGGGGGAAGAGAGAAAGGGAGGGGCACGTATAAGGTCATATGAGAAACGGGCAAGCAGATACATTCGAGTTTCAAATGCGTTACATAAGAATGACCCAAATTTACCGCCCTTTTGTGTTGTACTGTTGTTTTTTTATAAAGTATCTGAAGGAGAGTGGGGACAAAATCCCAGTAATGTGAACACGTTTCTGGAACAGCATGAGCGTCCGAGACGACAGACGGGCCCCCAGAGCCAAGGTCATTCTGGCAAGATAGACATGTGGGTGTACCAATCACAGGCGAATAGCTTTCTTATTCAAAGTTGAGTGGATATGCAAATAGTGCAACTTCATATATCGACTGATCTGAAGGACACTTGGAGGTACACATCCATTATGGAAATAATGTGACACGATTTTGGGAAGCTTGAAATATTCCATTCAAGCCCACCAAATAGCGAGTCCGTTCTGTTCATCTGTTTTGCAGGCGATTGATCGAATATGCCATGAGGTCATGACCTTAACTTAAAGCAAACACAAGCCAGCATTTTATGATCACTTGAATAAAAGCTGAGATATGAAATATGCCCTGTTTTCTGTCGAGAAATTTACGTAATACTGCAAAACCTAAGAGCATTACACCCGCGATCGATAAGCAGTTCCACATTATTCAAGACTTTATCTGCACTAGTTGTAGAAACCCAGGAGATTGCCAATCACTGCACGAAGTCGCCGTGGTCTTCAGTTGAATGATCACCAGCTGTAATCGAGGCAGTATGACTATTTCAGCCCAGTTCCCAATATAATTTTAGCGAAGTAATTTGCTCTTCTTCCACATAGGATAGCCTCATGCTCTTAGTAATGACTTAATTTAGGACTTTTTTGTATTGGCCCTGAGGATTTCACTTGGTTCAATGCTTGCAGATTTATTCAGGTTCAACTCTGGAAATTCAACTCTGGTTAATACGATGGCATACCTTGGCCACTATGTTAAACACAATGGTCATGTAGGTAGATATGGTAAGTGAAACTGACCAATGCTGGAAAGGTGAAAAAATTGCACACGGGGAGAATCATCACCAGTATGCATTTTCCAAATGGCCAGGAAGTCTTGATCCCGACACCCTGACCTAGAGGTTTAAACTTTCAAACATTCGGCAATCACGTGTTGATCATCATTGTGTATAGTTTGCACTCAAACGGGACCCGTCTTTCAAATCCTATCACGTGATCACATAGTGGCTAATTCCTTGGGGAATGACTCCTCGGAGTTTCATTTCACTTGCTTTGTGAATTTTTTCTTACCGTGAACTACCCAAAACCTGATGAATTTTCGGCATAGAGTGACCCTCTTTACGAAATTTCATTTCAATTAGGAAACACGATCGATTTCTCGATGATATTTCATAGCATGTGGTGGTTCTCCTGACCTTTTTTTCTATTCTGAATGCTATAAATTAGTGGGATTTGAACAAAAACATCATCTTCTATTTCTGGCCGCGTTTGTGATGGGGACACAAGATGGGTACGTAGAACGTCGTGTGCACCGCAAATAAGTGGTTCAGTAAGTAAGTAGTTCTGTAAGTAGTTCTGAAGACATAAGTTCGTTCTCCCTAAAGCTTGAGCTCAATACAGCTCGACGGTTAAGGTGCAAATCTAATTCCGGCATCTTAAGTTCTGCTGTCTGGGCTTGGGCGTCCTGACCAGTACCGCATTCTAAGGGACTTATTTGGATGACCTGACAGGTACGCCTCAAAAAGATTCTAAAGTTGAACGATTCAATCATTTGCTCACTCTGCTTGACGTCAAGTGGAATCAGGTTCACTGCCCGTATGACATAGTAATGGGCATTGTTAGAACGCTTTGACGGAAGAATTGGCCCTTCAAGATTGTTTTTTTGGATAAAGTTGCTGCCCAGAAGGATTTCTGGCGCAGTAGCTCAAGCCGACACTTCCAAGGTACAGCGGTTAGAATCAGAAATGATTTATCTCTGTCTTCCTTCTACCAACGCGATGTGTTTAGTGGATTACCAACAGAACGTTTTATGAAGCACGTCACTAGCTATACAGCCATCATTTAGGAGCTGGAAGGTAAAATTCCTTCTCAGAGTAATTCAGTATGAATGAATGAATATGTCCACTCCTATGAAAACAGCTACTTCAGTCAAACGATGGATATTTTCAAAGCATAAGCTGTTCATGTGACTAGGGGAAAATGGCACAACTTAGACGGTCCCGTTTTAACACCCCATCTTATTGATAGTGGACCTAAGATTGACACTGAACTCGTTGTTAGAACAAATCAAGTAGTACAAGCCAGGATTTTAAAGTTCGAAAGAACCAAGTCCGTTTTTCTCGCAGAAGTTTCCCGCAAACATGTTTCTGGGCCTAAGCTTTGCCACGGAGAAGTTTTGTACATGTGTTGCAAACAGATTATGGTTGTACTGCAGTGGAGTGTCGACGTTAAACATTTATGCTTTGTTGTCGAAGATCAGGATATCCCCCACCCGAATGACCGTGTTCTACATTAGACACTCGTTTTGACGTTTGAAACATAGATGTACTCTACGATACCAAATTCAAGCATCCTTCCTGTTCCATGGGTGCCTTTCTCAAGCTATTTCTCACAGTGGATGACTGCTTAGTGGTGACACAGACGGAATAACAAGCTTCATCGGCATAATTAAATGCCATGTCTTTCAGTTGGTACACGAGCCAGGTTTTGTCTATGATTGGCTGCAGACGTGTTATATTCACTCTAGATCGATAAGTTATCTAGGCAGCCAATAGTAGTCCACGTGACCATTCTGCCGTCCAATCCACGAACTGCCTATGGAAGTGAACCAGTCATTTTCAAATATAGGGAGAGGGAGTACACGACGATGATTCCTAATCATCTCAGGTGGTTTGATGGCTCAGCGGCAGAATTGTAAGCAAAGCAGTTTCGATAGATAGAATTAAAGAACCTAGTGAAAAGGACCGTTGTAAAATCAGCTGAATGAGCCAAATAACCCTGTTGATTTGCGCAAGCGTCCAACTTTAATGCGTGTGCAGGCATCTATATCACACATATTAGACACTCCCCACAGTGGATAACGGCTGTTAACTTGCCGAATAAGAAACTGCATAGCGTTGTGATTATACACATATATTCAATCCTATCTATCTGGTTACAGAGGAGCCATTTTCCCTGAAAAGCCACTTTTTCGCGTCCTTCAAGTAGTTCCCCTTGAGGAGTGAAACCACTATCACATCTGATTACAGTCTACGCAGACGTTCCTGCTAGTTGGCTGACAAACAACTGTATCTCAGTGGTGCAGTCAAGTGTGGCACAGTTGTGCCAACGAGAACGGATTCCTAAACCTAATCTAAGTTGATTTCTAGACGGAATTGTTGATCCTTGGCAAATTCTGTGCTGCGCATGAATAGTCTTTTCTTTAAGATTACCAAACTCACATCTGAGATTACGTCTTGCCCCACAGTAGGCAGTCCAAAAACAACCCGTGTTGCTGAGTCCTCAGTGAGAAACTGAAAAATTGCGGCAAAACTGCTCAGTTGTTCCATCGCAATACACTGTTTTGTCTTTCAGGTTCCGTAACAACGGATGCGGTGGAAGCGGTCACCATCGATGGGTGTGCTCAGGAACCGTGCGTCGTACGAGCAGGTGGTACTCTCAAGCTAACCATAAGGTTTACCTCACGTAAGTCCTTTCCAATTTAAAGTTGCTTTCACAAAGACTCAGCCTCGGCACATATGCTCACCTTTGTCTACGAAACCAGTACCGCAAATGGGACTGTCCTGCGAGGTGAATTCTAGGCACCGCGGATCACTGGTTCCGCTTTTCCTAGCAGTACACAATGAATGCCGAAAAACAAAACATATCAATATGCAGACCGCTTCGCCGGAGTGACTTTTCGTAGTTCTAACCAGAGAGAACAGGAGATAATCGAAAGATGGCACACGACACCGTCGGCTCAAATTTATTAAGGCATGTGTTGTTTTGTGTCTGGGTATCTTCTCAGACATGCGTGAGATGCTTGACGAAGGCTGGGTGCACATAACCGCTGCTCGTAGATCTGGTTTGCTCGTGTTTTAAGAATTGGGACAGAACGACGCAAACTTTCACACCATCGATTTCATGGATTGTGGTATTGCGGCTTTTTGATCCGAGCCAGACGGAAATAGACTTTCCTGATCGCTCCGAGTGTTTAGAATTCTGTTGACTAAACCACCTTCAGAGTACCCATTTGGCTAATTTCCTCGGTGCCACCGTCCTGAACAATTTTGGTTAAGACATGTGACTTGATAAGCCCCGAACTGGCAAAACGGGACGTCCTAAGCCGTGGTAAGTTCATATCATCACAACTCAAACCACCTGACTTAATGAGCGACAAAAACAAAAAAATGTATCTATAACGTTTTCAACTTTTGCAGCAATTTCGCAAGCCTTATTGTCACAAACTACACAATAAAATCAGCCGTGGTTTTGAAACATTAAGTCAGTTTTGATTTATTTCAAAAATGTGGTACGGACTTTGGGAAACAGATCTGACACACTGGTCATCTTGGCCGAGAATTCACGTGGTCATAGTGCTTCGGTTGACTAGCTTTGTGCTGTCGTAGTTTGTGGTGAATTTACTCCAATAATATACCAGTGGTTAAAACTGGCGAAAGGAAAGAAGAAAAAACGAAGAGAATGATATCAAGTACACTTTTTGCCAGGTTATGTGAACTAAGTTTTCCGCTATCGGAAAACGAATGACTCCACAACTTGCACAGGGATACAGGACCATTTCGTAGTGGATATGATCTAGTGTTGCACGTTCGGAAAAAAACGGTAGTATGTCTTATCGCTCAGACCACAAAACAGATACAAGGAACGCTATGTGAGTGAGCTGACCATTAATCAGATCAATGGTAATGATGCCTTATATGTAAAGTGAGCTTCAGCTTTGACTACTCACTTCCTATCAGTAGTTGATGCGTAATTTTCTACCTTGTCGTGTCCCCTCTCCATGTAGCGTTAAACATGGTGAAGCCGAAGTCACGCTTTTTATACTACTCGACATCCAGGTCAACTAGTCCGGAACGAGAAGACAAGTGGGGTATCGCTTGTGATTCGGATGAAGAGTACTGTTTCAAGCTGAATTCAAACTACAACTTCAAGGTGGAATCCACGTTACCAAATGAAAAAGTGAGTTGACATTCTCTCAGTCCACCAAGCTGGCATATATTTGTAACTCTGGATAGCAAGTCGTCCAGTTGTGGCACTGTGTGGTCGTCTGTGTGCTTTTACTTTCTGTGAAGGAAACTCAAGTGGTAACACTACGATTTTCTCCCAGGTACGAGGAAAGTGTAGTGACCTCAATGCGTGCTGTTAGTTCCGGTGGACGCTTATTACCAGTTTTGTCGGGGTTCCTACCTGATTTGCAGCCGTTTTGTTGCCATCTGAGGAAACATATTTAGTGCACTGTTACGTCTATCTGAACCAAGAGAGTGTAAACCTTGAACACTTATCTGGTTTTTTAGGGGCACTCGGGTAACTAAACTCAAGCGACTCACTTATGGAAAATCAGGTTTGCTGGTTCGGATTCGTTAGCACATTAAGACGAGTATGTGACACACCCGTGTTACTGAATACTGCTATTCAAGACTGGAATGAGTGAGCAGTTCAATTAATTTTTACTGCAGAGGGTGAACGACGTTCTGGTGACTGAGAGATCTACGAGCACTTGAGCTATGTCCAGTAATGTCTTGGCGGCCAAAGTTACGACTGGCCTGTGTAATCCAGTAGCAATTGTATAAAGACATGATGCTGCTGGAGGAGTCGGTCGATCATATTCATGTGCCACTCAGATGAACCCCAACCCTCTCATCAGTGCACCGTTCGGTCAGTTGAATATTGCGAGGTTGAGAAAGCCTTTTTTCCCAAAACAGACAAACTAAACCAAATAGCCTACGTTTTTGTCGTTCAACCCTGCTGGCTCAACACGAATACACCTGACTTAATTAGGGGCATTCGGGTAACTTAACTCAAGCCAAAGTTCCGACTGGATGAACCTCAACCCTCTCATCAGTGCACCATTCAGTCAGTTGAATATTTCCAGGTAGAGAATGCCTCTTTTCCCAGAAAAGATAAATTTAGTCAAAACAGTCTAGCTTTTTTGTTATTCAGCGTGGCTGGCTCAACACGAATACACCTGACGTAATTCCAGTGTTTCTTATCACTTAACTCAAGCCAAAGTTCCGACTGGATGAACCTCAACCCTCTCATCAGTGCACCATTCAGTCAGTTGAATATTTCCAGGTAGAGAATGCCTCTTTTCCCAGAAAAGATAAATTTAGTCAAAACAGTCTAGCTTTTTTGTTATTCAGCGTGGCTGGCTCAACACGAATACACCTGACTTAATTAGGGGCATTCGGGTAACTTAACTCAAGCCAAAGTTATGAATGCTAGACTGATAGTTGGTCAAGTATTGTTGAAATACCTGAGCTAGACGAGTCATTTTCGCACCAAACAAAATAAGAAACCAAGTTTTGACGTGCGAGGTGGAGTGTTTTTAAATGCCTCACCTGGCGTCTTCGGGTCTCTAAACTGCACCCAGAACAAATTGTTCGACCAGTGATAGGTTGTAGTTACTTGACCCAATCGATATTTAATAAAGTCTGATTTGTTATTGTTCAGTGGCTTGAAAGTTTTGTCTCGCTCATTCCGATTCAAACATGTGAGTGATTTGCGCTCCAGAGCATGACTTTCTGACATGAAAGGTCATGTTCCGACCGATAAAAACAGGACGCTCACGAGATGTCTTCATACACGCATCCAATTCCAGCTTTTCAACATGATAACGATTTGACCAACAAAAGTTTGCAAAAGTGTTCCAAACCTGTTTCTGAAAACTGATTCGAATTCCAACTTGTTTTTTAGTATGGCGGTATGGCGTGGCAACTTCTGAACCAGAATAAAACCGTCCTCTGTGTTCGCTGGGCTGTTCAGACCAAGTGATTTGTGTCCGGAATAATAAAAAATCTAAGCATGAGACATTTTATATTGAGACTATGGGGGGACTTTAGAAGCGATACTAGATGGGAAGGTGTTATATTCGAAACTGACAGTGTCGAGTCTCGAAAATTTGCACGTCAATAGTCGTAATAAACCCCAGTAAATGTGGATGAATCTAGCTTATTCATCCCAAATCGTGTCCCAGAATAAATCAGACTGCGCTTCAGCAGTTAATCAAAAGTGGTTTCGGAAGTTGTAGAATGAACGTTTCATCACTCTGGCTTGACAAGACCTCCATTTGTCCTGGCGCAATCATTCTGGTGAGCTCACTTCGAACGTGGAAGCATTTCTAATCAGGGCTCATCTGCACATTTTTGATCTTGCTGAGGTTTTATATCAAGGCATTTGATATGCGAAGCAATCGTGTCATCACTCTCCCATAAATGCACGATGGACGCAACAGAATTACCACGTTTCTAAATCGGGTTGGTGTGCGTACCAAATAAAACAATAACTGAACAAACGAACAGATACTGAAAACGTAATTTGAACGAGGGACGGCTTTTGAAAAAAACTGTGGATCAATAATCTGAACTAAAAGCGATCTACCGGGCATATAAACTCAGCGGGAGCTAGAAAGACCTTAACAAGCTAAGAGTTCGGCCTCGCTCAGCATACGAACTCAGGTGCAAAATTACGAATGGTCTCATAATCCAATGGTCTATTCATCGGTCCCCTCATCAAGATAATCTTCAAGGACCTAGATAAATTTGTATTGTTTTCCAATGACTCATTCTCAGTATCGTCACAGTTAGGATGTCTAATCACCACAGCTGCTGGAATATCACCAGATCGTCCAGTACCAACTTGTTGAGGTATATATATATATATATATATATATATATATATATATATATATGTATATATATGCGGTGCACGTAACCTCATCTCCGTTCACTTTGTAATTCACAAAGCTGTACAAATTAAATGTGCTGACTTTCATATCAGATGATGGTTGACGTTCCCAGTTGCGCTTGCGGATCACGGAGCCGGGATCCTTTTGAAAACTTGATACCTACAATAGAAAGCGGACACTTCAGCCAGAATCTCCTTCATGCCCACAACAAGAATGGCGACTTGTCATTGTTAAATGGATTTGGGGGTTTTTGAGGAGACTCAGTCATTTTCACCAGGGTTTTCGTCCAGTCACTGAAGCCAGCGATGGAGCTGAGTTGGTTCCGGGATAACGCACATATCAGGCATGTTTTCTAAATGTATCGTCTCACCAGAGTTTGGTGCACGTTTAAAAAAAGTTAAGTCAGGGAAACGCTCGATGTGGTAAGTTTCACCGAGCTGCTTGTGTCCTTCAAGCAGCCGAATGCACACAGAGCAAGAACAATAATTCTCCCCACGATTGTCGCCTGGTTTTAACCAAGTGCAACTTGGTTCCATTGGATGTCGCTGCGTAACCAAGTTGTAAGACGGGAATGGGGTGGAGATGAAAGACCTTCAACGGCACAAGGATAACAAAAGTAATGTGCCTCGTTTACAGTGTCGTGTATATTTTCAACGCCAGACGCACAATTTTGTGCGAATTGTTGTTTGGGGCAAATACGTATGGGTCATGAGAAGTTGACCAGAGACTAGACAAATGCTTCTCCCAAAACGGTATTTGGAATACTTTCATGGTTTTCTCGATTATGAGCAAGGTCATACACCATTCTCTAAAAACGAATTTGAGGTTTAATCATGCCTTTGATGCTTACGTGAGTTTCTGTCTAACTAATTCATCTATGCGGTTCGTTTATGAGGACTGCCCAAGTTGGTTTGGAAAGCTAGCAACTGATCTGCTCATACTGTTCTCGATGGAAAAGTGTGTAGGACAGGTTTTGGTTTCGAATATGGGGCAAAAAAGGACACTAAATGTATCAATCCGAAACACAAGTCTAGGACTCTTTATCGCCCACGCGTTGATTGCAGGAATTATGGAATTCTGTCGTCAAAAGTTTGCTGAAACCTAGAAATGTCAAAGGAAGCGCGAAATCAACTCACTGGGTATGGATTTAGTTGAAACCTCTACGGACGTCAAGAACAACGTAGATATCGTACAGTAGGAGGTCTGATGGCCTGGAGTTTGCTGATTCCGAGGAGTTCGACATAAAAACCCTCAGGAGAATATGATAAACGAGGGATTCAGCTGCGATTCAGTTGAGACTCCCGTCGAAAACAGACCACTATGCGGATGAGTGGATAAGTCGCAGTGCATTTCTTTGAAACCTGTATGCTGGCGGTAAACATTCTACTGATATCAATGAATTCATTTTAGGCAGAAAAGTCGAGAAAAACTGTGCGGTTTTTCCAACATCAGCAGAATTTCGACTACGTGACCAATTGGTTGACATTTGGACACAACCGTGTGCTTACGAGTGGCTGATAACCAAGTTGATAAGCTTTCACTCGAGAAGGACAGAGCACTACTCATTTTTCAACCGCGGAACCGCGTCACGTAATAACGTACTGAGTTCTCACGTGGGAGTTCCGCATATTTTCTGAAAGTGTTCTTCTAAACTACTTACAGACTGATAGTAGTGTTAGGAGATAAACAACTTTTTTAATAAACCTTTTCTCACGTGTGACTCCATTCTATACTAAAAGCCGAGAGGCGTTGCACAGGATTCTAAGCATTATTGACATTCATCTGCAGAAAGCATCTCACAAGTGCCCAAGCAGAGTCCAGAATAATGCTTCAACGTTCCAACTCCCTTCATAATGCTGACAAAATTTTAAGTAACTCAGATAAGGCGATAATTCACACGAAGTGTATACCTTCATTCTGCAAAGGAGCCATTGAACAAGTGCTACTGACTTGAATCTCGTGAATGGATGACAACTGGTGCCCCATAAATTCCACAGTAAGAGCAATTCTGATTGACAATTAACCAATCGTAATTTAGGCCGGGAGCTTATGGGCTCTCATTTGCCGTGAGATCCAAGGGATGCGCACAGTTCATGATTCCCAACGAGAACTAAAAACTCCATGGTGCTTCTCATCACAAATTGTTGTCAATTTCACAGTAAAATCTGACCCAAAACATCCAACGCTGCGATCCTGTCAGTCTATGAAATGGCTTATAGCCTAACACGAATCACACTGTTTCATCGGTGTTTCTCCATACATCTCACGGTTGT